GGGTGAATTCTAAATGGTTTGCTATAAGTACATACAGATCCTGAATATGTTTAATATAAGGGTGAATCCTGAATTGGTTGCTATAAGGGTGAATCCTGAATGGTTTGCTATAGGTACATACAGATCCTGAATGTGTTCGCTACAAGGGTGAATCCTGAATGGTTTGCTATAGGTACATACAGATCCTGAATGTGTTTAATATAAGGGTGAATCCTGAATTGTTTGCTATAAGGGTGAATCCTGAATGGTTTGCTATAGGTCCATACAGATCCTGGATGTGTTTGCTATACGAGTTAATCCTGAATGGTTTGCTACAGGTACATACAAATCCAGAATGTGTTTGATATAAGGGCGAATCCTAAATCGTTTTCTATAGGTACATGCAGATTCTGAATGTATTTGCTATAAGAGTGAATTTTGAATTGTTTGCTAGAGGTATATACAGATCCTGAATGTGTTTGCTATACGGGTTAATCCTGAATGGTTTGCTGCAGGTACATACAGATCCTCAATGTGTTTGAAATAAGGGTGAATCCTGAATTGTTTGATATTGGTACATACATATCATGAATGTGATTGCTATAATGTGAATCCTGAATTGTTTGCTATAGATACATACAGATCCTGAATGCGTTCGCAACAAGAGTGAATCCTGAATTGTTTGATATTGGTACATACAGATCATGAATGTGATTGCTATAAGGTGAATCCTGAATTGTTTGCTATAGGTACATACACATCCTGAATGTGCTTTCTATACGGGTGAATCCTGAATTGTTTGCTATAGGTACATGTAGATTCTGAATGTATTTGCTATAAGGGTGAATCCTGAATTGTTTGATATTGGTACATACACATCCTGAATGTGCTTTCTATAAGGGTGAATCCTGAATTGTTTGCTGTAGGTACATACAGATTCTGAATGCGTTCGGTACAAGGGTGAATCCTGAATGGTTTGCTATAGATACATACAAATCCTGAATGTGTTTGATATAAGAATGAATCCTGAATTGTTTGCTATAGGTACATGCAGATTCTGAATGTATTTGCTATAAGAGTGAATTTTGAATTGTTTGCTAGAGGTATAGACAGATCCTGAATGTGTTTGCTATACGGGTTAATCCTGAATTGTTTGCTATAGGTACATGCAGATTCAGAATGTATTTGCTATAAGAGTGAATTTTGAATTGTTTGCTAGAGGTATATACAGATCCTCAATGTGTTTGAAATAAGGGTGAATCCTGAATTGTTTGATATTGGTACATACAGATCATGAATGCGTTCGCTACAAGGGTGAATCCTGAATGGTTCGATATAGGTACTTACACATCCTGAATGTGCTTTCTGTAAGAATGAATCCTGAATTGTGTGCTATAGGTACATACAGATTCTGAATGTGTCCGCTATACGGGTTAATCCTGTATGGCTTGCTACAGGTACATACACATCCTGAATGTGCTTTCTATAAGGGTGAATCTTGAATGGTTTGCTACAGGTACATACAGATCCTGAATGTGTTTGCTATACGGGTGAATCCTGAATTGTTTGCTATAGGTACATGCAGATTCTGAATGTATTTGCTATACGGGTGAATCCTGAATTGTTTGATATTGGTACATACAGATCCTGAATGTGTTTGCTATACGGGTGAATCCTGAATTGTTTGCTATAGGTACATGCAGATTCTGAATGCATTTGCTATAAGGGTGAATCCTGAATTGTTTGATATTGGTACATACAGATCCTGAATGTGTTTGCTATGCGGGTGAATCCTGAATTGTTTGCTATAGGTACATACAAATCGTGAATGTGTTTTGTATAAGGGTGAATCCTGAATTGTTTGTTATAGGTACATGGAGATTCTCAATGTGATTGCTATAAGGTGAATCCTGAATTGTTTTCTATAGGTACATACATAGCCTGAATGCGTTTGCTACAAGGGTGAATCCTGAATGGTTTGCTATAGCTACATACACCTCCTGGATGTGCTTTCTATAAGGGTGAATCCTGAATTGTTTGCTATAGGTACATACAGATCCTGAATGTGTTTGCTATAGGTACATACAGATCCTGAATGTGTTTGCTATACGGGTTAATCCTGAATGGTTTGCTACAGGTACATACAAATCCTTAATGTGTTTGCTATAAGGGTGAATCCTGAATTGTTTGCTATAGGTACATACTGATCCCGAATGCGTTTGCTACAAGGGTGAATCCTGATTTGTTTGCTACAGGTACATACAGATCCTGAATGTGTTTGCTACAAGGGTGAATCATGAATTGTTTGCTATAGGTACATACACATCCTGAATGTGCTTTCTATAAAGGTGAATCCTGAAGTGTTTGCTATAGATGCATACAGATTCTGAATG